TATTGGCCAGGCTGGTCTCAAACTTCTGACCTTGTGATCCGCCCACCTCGGCCTCCCAAAGTGCTGGGATTACAGGCGTGAGCCACTTCGCCCTGCCAATAGTTTTTTAATAGTTGCAAAATTGTCCACAAAAGGAAAGTTCCACAATGTATTCAGTGGTAAATTGAATAAACTACCATAAGTGGCATTGATGGATATTCAGTTTCTTTTAAAAAATCTATTGTATTACAAATAATGTTGCAGTTGTATCCTGGTACATACTTTTTTTTTTTTTTTTTTTTTTTTTGGAAGTTGGTAGGTAGAGTCTTGCTCTGTGCCCAGGCTGGAATGCAGTGGCGTGACCACTGATCACCTCAGCCTATACCTCCCAGATGCAGGTGATCCTCCTGCCTCATCCTCCGGACTAGCTGGGACTACAGGTGCACACCACCATATCAGGCTGATTTTTTGGTATTTTTTTATAAAGACGAGTTTTGTCATTTTGCTCAGGCTGGGCTTGAATCCCTGGGCTCAAACCATCTGTCCGCCCTTGTCTCCCAAAGTGCTGGGATTACAGACATTTTATATACATCATGCAGCCAAAAGCTTTTCTTTACTAATAATACTAGAACATTAGTTATATACCCAACTTTTTTTTTTTTTTGAGATGGAGTCTCACGCTGTCACCCAGCTTGGAGTGCCGTGGCACAACCTTGGCTTACTGTAACCTCTGCCTCCTGGGTTCAAGCAATTATCCTGCTTCAGCCTCCTGAGTAACTGGGATTACAGGCATGCACCACCACACCCAGCTAATTTTTTTGTATTTTTGGTAGAGATGGGTTTTCACCATGTTGGCCAGCCTGGTCACTAACTAATGAGCTCAAGTGATCTGCCTGCCTCAGCCTTTCAAAGTGCTGGGATTACGGGCATAAGCCACTGTGCCTGGCCCCAACATTTTTTTTTTTTTTTTTTTTTGAGACAGAATCACTCTGTGAGGCTGGAGTACAGTGCATGATCTTGGCTCACTGCAACCTCAGGCTCCCAAGTTCAAGCGGTTCTCCTGCCTCAACCTCAGAGTAGCTGGGATTACAGGCATACACCACCATGTATTTTCAGTAGAGATGGGGTTTCACCATGTTGGCCAGGCTGGTCTTGAACTCCTGACCTCAAGTGATCAGCCATCCTCAGCCTCCCAGAGTGCTGGGATTACGTGAGCCACTGCACCTGGCCTTTTTTTAATGCATGCATAATGTTCTACAGTATGGTATGTAGGGGAGAAAAAAAGAGTTTTTCCTCTACCCTTCAGAGTTTTTGAGTGAAATAGCCCCTGTAACAAAAGACAGATTAACAAGGAGAAAACAAACAGGGCAAGGCATGGTGGCTCATGCCTGTAATTCCAACACTTTGGGAGGCTGAGGTGGGTGGATCACTTGAGCTCAGGAGTTCCAGAGCAGCCTGGGCAATATGGAAAAAACCATCTCTACAAAAAATGTAAAAATTAGCTAGGTGCGGTGATGCATGCCTGTGGTTCCAGCTACTCTACTCCAGCAGCTGAGGTAGGTGGATCGCTTGAGCCTAGGAGGAAAAGTGCAGTGAGCTGTGATCATGCCACTGCACTTCAGCCTGGGTGATAGAGCAAGACTGTCTCAACATCAATAAATGAAAGAAAGAAAAAAAAACAAAAACGAACAGAAATGTAAACATGTGTACCTCATGTATGCAAAAGAGAGACCAGGGAAATAAGCAAATTTCTGAGGTGGATTTCAGTTCAGGCTTATACAGCATCTTCAAAAAAGAACAGTATATGTTTAGAGAAGTGTTAAGAGAAGGAAAATGATTTCGAGTCTCTAGGGGTGGCAAATTGTGGGAAGGCGAATAAGTGATAGAAAAAGGCTCATTAATAAAGTTTGCCATGTAGATTCCTGGCTGACAAAGGTTTGTCAAAAGACAAAATTACAACTAATTTAGTTTAAAGATCATAATTAGCCTTTAGTTGCGACTGTAGAGCTTTGCAACACCTCATTTTATAAGACAGAGCGGAGGAGGTTGAGCTGAGCACAGGTTGGCTTTATAGACAGAAAGGGCTGAAGAAAGCAGACACAGAAAAGTGAATTGGTTGAGGTTACTTTCCTTGCAAAGTTTTTTTTTTTTTTTTTTTGAGACGTAGTTTTGCTTTTGTTGCCCAGGCTGGAGTACAATGGTGCGATCTTGGCTCACTGCAACCTCCACCTCCTGGGTTCAAGCGATTCTCCTGCCTCAAGCCTCTTGAGTAGCTGGGATTACAGGTCCCTGCCACCATGCCCAGTTTGTGTGTGTGTGTGTGTGTGTGTGTGTGTGTGTGTGTGTGTGTGTGTAGTAGAGATGGGGTTTCACCATGTTGGCCAGGCTGGTCTTGAATCTTGACCTCAGGTGATCCACCTGCCTTGGCCTCCCAAAGTGTTGGGATTACGGGAATGAGCCACGGCGCCCAGCCTCCTTGTAAAGTTCAAAGCACAGGGAATTTCCTTACCATGCCACCTAAAACTGGTCTGTTCGGGGATTTGGCTATTATTTTTTTCTTTCTCCTGATGTCTTAGAAAGGCAGATAGACAACTTAGTTTTGACTTGGTGATGTGGAACATGAGTAACATGAGTGACTCGATGTTGGGCCTAGTCTAGTGCAGGAGCTCAATCCAAAACAATGGCCTCCTATACATTTTATTTAACAGGTGTAAAATTGTCTTCAGTGATTAACCTTTGTCCTTCCAGGCAGTGCGGGAAGAGGGATACCTTTGCCGTTTAAAATTTATGTTCTGCTTTTAGGCAAATGGGGAAAGGCAGAGAACTTTCCTTGTATCTACATCGTCTCAATTGCCTTCGGCTTGAAAGACTGCTTAGGCCAAGGAGGAATATTTTGGGATGGCACATTCTCGTGTCCTTACGGGTACACTACTTTTATTCATGTCTGTTCCACTCCCTTCACCTTAGACCACCCCATCCGCAGTCTCTCTCATTTTTCTTTTCACCCAGCACCATTTACCCATTCATGGCGTACCCGAAAGTCCTCGGAACAGGGTAATCATTAGGTAAGTACTATTGCCTCTTTGGTCTGTTTCTGGCAGCGATTAGCTGTGTGCATTCTTTGAGAAGGGAGACGGAAGGGACAGAAGTGGGCACTAGCGAAGAACTAAGGTGCTTCACTCGAATAGATAGGGAGGAAAGAGGATTGCCGAGGCGAGCCGCAGCCTGTGCCTTCGATGTCTTCTGAAGGAAGGTGGGCTTCGGGGCGGAAGGGTGTACTTAGGGCACTGAGTGGCCCAGGGTGGGGAGCTCCTGGAGGACTGAGGGGACCTGCTGGCCCAGGCGCCTGGGCGGGGCCGGGGGGGGCGCGTAGGGGCGGGGCGGCCTGGGGGCGGGGCGCGCAGCCGCGCAGCGGCGGGAGGACTGCGGGGCTCCAACGGCCGGCTGCAGAGCTCGTGGAGGAGGCCATGGGGCGAGCTGTTGCGGAGCTCGTTTCCTCGCTGCTAGGGCTGTGGCTGCTGCTGTGCAGCTGGGGGTGCCCCGAGGGCGCCGAGCTGCGTGCCCCGCCAGATAAGATCGGTAGGCGAGAAGGGGGCGGCGCGGGAGGGCGCTGGAGCGTGCCCCGCACCGGGCGGCTGCTGCGCAGTGTGCCCAGATCCCACAGCTGCGACGCAGGCCAGTAGTGCAGGCCGAACCCGCCGCGCAGGTCGCGCTTCCCCCCATTGACACCTCAGAGCGGCTTTCGGCCCTGCTCGGAATAGGACTGTGCATTCCCAGGCGTGGAGAGGTGCCCACTTGAGGAATGGGCGTGGACGGGGACCGGGGCGGGCAGGCAGGCGGGCGCCCAGCGTACCTGTAGCCCCAGTCTCTTAGGCCTGGGACTCCGGGGAGGCCTAGGTTCCTCTCTCCATCTTTCCTTTGAACACTGACCATGAAGAGTCCAGTGTATCTGGCTCGACCTGGGACGTCCTGCCAGAGGGCAGGCTCACGCAGACACAGCACAGGGAGGAGTGCAAACGAGCTGACCCTGCCTGCTTCCCTTGGGAGGCTGAACCCCCTTCCCCCATCTCTGCTTTGCTGAGGTCGGCCTGCTCTCAGAGGCCCCTGGCTTGCACAATTTCTCCACCTAGGACTAACACAGCTGCAGAAAGAATCTATTTTCTTTCCAGTGTCAGGAGCCTTGGTTTTTTGCTTCCTGTCTACCCCCACCCGACTTTAAAGTTGTGTTCTTCGGGATCATTAACCTATTTACATTGAATCTAGACACAATAAAGTTAGGCAAAAATGGCAGTCACTTTATTAAAAATGCGTGCTAGAAAGGCCCACCTGTAATGTGCTCGTGAGTTGGGCATCAAGAAGGGTGTATAGTACTGTTTGTTCCTCCATAAATACCTGTGAGAATCTTTGGTTAAAAAAATCGAATTAATGCCACTGTGTTAATTAATCTACTACTGCTTTTGTCGAGGGGGGCAGTGTCTGTCCAGAATCAGGGAGTTAGACCTTTATTGCAGATGCCACTCCCCCCACCAAATTGTTGACAATGGCTTTGAGTAACAACCTCCCGTATTGCTTAATGGTCTTTAAAAAACAAAACAACTGGTAAAAGGGGGAAAAAACCTGTTTTCTTCCCTCATAGCGATTATTGGAGCCGGAATTGGTGGCACTTCAGCAGCCTATTACCTGCGGCAGAAATTTGGGAAAGATGTGAAGATTGACCTGTTTGAAAGAGAAGAGGTTGGGGGCCGCCTGGCTACCATGATGGTGCAGGGGCAAGACTATGAGGCAGGAGGTTCTGTCATCCATCCTTTAAATCTGCACATGAAGCGTTTTGTCAAAGACCTGGGTATGTAATTTTGATCTTGGAGCTCACCAGATAACTGTCTGACATCCCTGGATATTTTTATCAGACGGAAAACTGAAACTTCTACCTTGTTAATTGTCTTACAGAGACGCTGGTAAAACTGTTTTCCTCACTTTCTTCTTAGTTGGTACTGCTTTAGTTAGCAGTTCTGCTGTAAGGGGACACTAGTTATCTGTATCTTCAGTTATCTGGAATTACAGCCATGGGGTGGAGGTGGGAATGGCTGCTGTTGTCTGTTTTCTTTTTTTGAGACACAGTTTTACTCTTGTTGCCCAGGCTGTAGTACAGTGGTGTGATCTCAGCTCACTGCAACCTCTGCCTCCCAGGTTCAAGTGATTCTCCTGCCTCAGCCTCCTGAGTAGCTGGGATTGCAGGTGCCCACCACCACACCCAGCTAATTTTTGTATTTTCAGTAGAGATGGGGTTTCACCATGTTGGCCAGGCTGGTCTTGAACTCTTGACTTCAGGTGATTCTCCCGCCTCGGCCTCCCAAAGTGCTGGGATTACAGGTGTGAGCCACCATGCCTAGCCTCTGTTGTCTGTTCTTAAACTTCTGGGTTTGTGTTGAAGAATAAGAGAAGTTTTGGAGATAGGCACCTTATTGTGATCATTTTGCAGCTGAGGAAATGAGACCCAGAGACTTGAAGTGTGTGGCTCAAAGTCACTCACACATGGCCATGGCCGGGCATAGTGACTCATGCCTGTAATCCCGGCACTTTGGGAGGCAGAGGAAGAGGATCACTTGAGCCCAGGAGTTAGAAACCAGTCTGGGCAACATAGTGAGACCCTGTCTTTACTTTTTTTTACTTTTTTTTTTTTTTTTTAAGATGGGGTTTCACCATGTTGGTCAGGCTGGCCTTGAACTCCTGACCTCAGATGATCCGCCTGCCTTGGCCTCCAAAGTGCTTGGATTACAGGCGTGAGCCACCACACCCGGCCCCTGTCTTTACTAAAAATAAAAAATTAACCTGGTGTTGTGGCACAAACCTGTAGTCCCAACTACTTGGGAGGCAGAGGCAGGAGGATCCTATGAGTCGGGGAGATAGAAGCTGCCATGAGCTTTGATTGTGCCACTGCACTGTAGCCTGGGCAACAAAGTGAGACCCTGTCAAACTACCACCAACAAAACAGTCACTCACACAGCTATGGATGCAGACATGTGCATAGAACTTGGGATGTGCAGCTGCTCCCCTGACAGCAGGGGAGCTGGATGGGTCATGGGGACAGTCTGACAGGCCTCTGCAGGCCCTTTTGGCAGGTAGTATTTTGTAACTTTGGCCTCCCTCCAGTTATCTGAAATACCAGTTTTGCAAAAGAGGATTCTCACAGGAATGGAAACACCTTTTTCCCCTCAGCTGCCTTCCACATCCTCTGTGGATGCTGCCTCTGCTTCAGTTTCCTCTACAAGGGCAAAGGTATACCCAGAACAAATCATGCTACAAAGATACCTGTCTGACATCTTTGTTTTTAAATTGAATTCAGTTGGTATTCTGGCTTTTTTCCTTTGACTATTTCCTTTTTTTTTTTTTTGAGACAGAGTCTTGCTCCATTGCCAGGCGCCAGGCTGGAGTGCAGTGGCGGGATCTCGGCTCACTGCAACCTCCGCCTCCTGGGTTCAAGCATTTCTCCTGCCTCAGCCTCCCTAGTAACTGGGCCTATAGGTGCATGCCACCACACCTAGCGAATTTTTTTTTTTGTATTTTTAGTAGGGACAGAGTTTCACCATGCTGGCCAGGATGGTCTCAATTTCTTGACCTTGTGATCTGCCTGCCTCGGCCTCCCAAAGTGCTGGGATTACAGGCGTGAGCCACTGCACCTGGCCTATTTCATTTTTTTAGACTAAAGAATAGCCAGGTAAAAATATATCTACTTTTGATATATTAATATTTGCATGATCATCTGACCCATTGCCAAGCAAATCTACTTTTGGACGGTGTAGTGAAAGTATAGTGTATTACACTGTTCCAAAGATAGAACTCCTCTATGTGACTCCTGAGAACTGAGGGAAGCCCCTGAGAACTGAGGGAAGCCCCACATTCACTCAGATTATGTTCTTTCACTATCAGCACAGACACCACTGACTTAGCTGCCCTTTATGTTTTTGCAGGTCTCTCTACTGTTCAGGCCTCTGGTGGCCTACTGGGGATATATAATGGAGAGAGTCTGGTATTTGAGGAGAGCAACTGGTTCATAATTAACATGATTAAATTAGTTTGGCGCTATGGATTTCAGTCCCTTCGTATGCACATGTGGGTAGAGGACGTGTTAGACAAGTTCATGAGGTAATTTTTTTTTCCTTCCAATTTAACCAAAGGTCTTTTAATTTAGGTTAAATTAAACTTGATGAACTTTAGGAGTTACAATGTCTTGTAAGCATTTTCTACCTCACTGCAAGGCCTGTTTGTACCATTGTTAGGCAAAATGTTTTGTAGAAACCATGCAGACTGTTTATCTGCTTGGAAATTGAAAGGTTAGTTTATTTTTGCTTCTGAAGTGTATTTTGCATCTGCTTCTTTAGTGTTGCCAGACATTGTTAGATGCCTTGAGTTCTCATGCCAACTTACTCAGGTAAGTACTGTTATTAGCTTCTTCAAACAGATGCAGAAGGGGCGGTGTAGAGGTTTTAAGAGAGTAGGTTCATCTACATAGTAAGTGGTGTAGCTGGAGTTGCCACCCAGGCAGTCTGGCTTTAGAGTCTTCACTCTTAATCTCTATGCTGTGCTAGTGTTGTGTAGATGAATGAGATAATGTGTACAAGAGTTGTAGAAGGATCAGAAAACTTAAATGGGCTTTAATAGTGACATGTTTTCAGTGAACCAGCAGCCTGAGTAGAGTAAAAGTTCCATATTCCAAGAATTTACATTCCAGCACTGTCCTGAGTAGTGAGAATTCAGGTGCCTCTTTTTCTTCCTTAGGCTTTTCTGTATTTAAACAATTTTTTACGTGTGTATATATGTATCACTTTGGTAATCAGGAAGACTAACATAACATAGCCATTCTAATTTTGAATGGTACAATCTATTTTTTTTTTAATCTGTTGGCATGTGCTAGTTTTTTTTTTTTTTTTTTTGAAGTTTTTTTTTTTCCTGTCGCCCAGGCTGGAGTGTGATGGTGCGATCTTGGCTCACTGAAACCTCTGTCTGCTGAGTTCAGGTGATTCTCCTGCCTCAGACTCCTGAGTAGTTGGGATTATAGGTGTCCACCACCACACCTGGGTAATTTTTTTTTTTTTCTGAGATGAAGTCTCGCTCTGTCACCTAGGCTGGAGTGCCAGTGGCGCAATCTTGGCTCACTGCAACCTCCACCTCCTGGGTTCAAGCAGTTCTCCTGCCTCAGCCTCTCAGGTATCTGGGATTACAGGCGTGTGCCACCATGCCTGGCTAATTTTTTTCTTTGTTTGTATTTTTAGTAGAGACGGGGTTTTGCCATGTTGGCCAGGCTAGTCTCAAACTTCTGACCTCAGGTGATCCACTTGCCTTGGCCTCCAAAATTGCTGGGATTTCAGGTGTGAGCCACTGCATCCAGCCAGCATGTGTTAATTTTTATGCTGGTTTACATTTCTAGGTGCTGGAGGCCGGGCGTAATCCCAGCACTTTGGGAGACCGAAGGGGATGGATCACCTGATGGTCAGGGGTTCAAGGCCAGCCTGGCCAACATGGTGAAACCCTGTCTCTACTAAAAATACAAAAATTGCCAGGCATGGTGGCTCATGCCTGTAATCCCAGCACTCTGGGAGGCTGAGGCAGGTGGATCACCTGAGGTCAGGAGTTCAAGACCAGCCTGACCAACATGGTGAAACCCCGTCTCAACAACAACAACAACAACAACCAAAAATTAGCCGAGTGTGGTGGTGGGCACTTGTAGTCCCAGCTACGTGGGAGGCTGAGGCAGGAGAATTGCTTGAACCTGGGAAGCGGAGGTTACAGTGAGCCAAGATTCTGCCACTCCACTCCAGCCTGGGTGACAGAGCAAGATTCCATCTCAAAAAAAAAAAGAAAGAAAAAGGTGCTGGAGAAACTCAGCTTGTAAATTTTCATATTTCATTACTATGACTACTTTAACATAATAAAGTAATTGTTTAAAAGGTAAAATGACATGTCATGGCTGGGTGCAATGTCTCATGGCTGTAATGCCAGCACTTTGGGAGGCTGAGGTGGTGGATCATGAGGTCAGGAGTTCAAGACCAGCCTGGCCGACATGGTGAAAGCCTGTCTCTACTAAAAACAAAAAAAAATTAGCCAGGTGTGGTGGCACATGCCTGTAATTCCAGCTATTTGGGAGTCTGAGGCAGGAGAATCGCTTCAACCCAGGAGGTGAGGTTGCAGTGACCCAAGAGTGCACCATTGCACTCTAGCCTGGGCTACAAGAGTGAAACTCCATCTCAAAAACAAAAAAAAGGGGCCGGGCGC